GGTCTCTGCTGAGGCTGCTGCCCCCGAGACCTGACCCTGGATAAGAGGAAGAAATCTGACGGACAAAAAATAGTTTGCTGTTTGAGAGTTCTTTTACTCTAATATTAAATTGTAATGCATTAAGTAAATATTTGTCAAATAGCTTAAGTAAAAGTTTAATGTAGACAAAAATCTACACAAATGTGTGCTATATTTTTGAAAGTCTTCATATTTTCTCTCCATGAGCTTTGAAATATGTGTCCTTGAGGGAAGAGTGTACCCTGAAATAAAAGTGAGAACTGTCATAGTGAAGTGTTTATCTGTGACCGTGGACAGTCTCATGTCAGAGACACGTCAAGACTTTCAGTCAGGCTGCTTATTACAATAACTCAATGCCTTGTTTTATTTGCAGTATTAGGTTAAGACAAGTGTCTTCACTCAAAGCAAATTAAAACTTAAAGCTCAATCATTAAATACCATCATAAATCACCTGACACAACTTTGTTGCCAACATTTAAATCATATATTTTTAAAGATTTAATGGGTTAAATGTTACAGTCCCAGTTTACAGCACCTGAAGACAACAGGTCTGCAGCAGCAGCAGTAATTGTCTCAGCTCAGGTCAAGTGTCTCTCCGTCACAGCAGGTCTATTTTAACTCCAGGACTCCAGCTGCCAAATTCCCATGACATCAGAGCGGTGGGTGGGCGGAGCCTSAGCAGATCAGACTGCACATTCATCTGTCCTCCTGAGGCCGGCTCACAGGCCAACTGAAAGCTGCACTTTCTCCTCCACTACAGAGAGCAGAAACTCTGAGGTCCGTCTGGGTCTGAACCAGGTCTGAACCAGGTCTGAACCAGGTCTGACACTGCAGAGGTCAAAGGTTAAACTGCCCTGCTGACTCAAGTCTGCTGGGAGGTGGTCTGAACCAACAGGGGACAAAGATCAGGTAAAAAGGTTTCATGTCAGCGGTCTCACCTGTTCGTGGTCGTCAGGTAGAGGAGGAAGGGGAGGGGGCGTGGCCAGCTGGTTGCTGTGCTGCTGCTGCTGCTGTTGTTGTTGTTGTTGTTGTTGTTGTTGTTGCTGATGATGGTTGTCGCGAGCAGCCATTTCTGCCATTCTGCGCTCCATCTGCTCCAGCCGCTCCAGGATGGACATCCTGAACTGATTATCTGCAGGTAGACAACAGGGGTGAAAAACAAAGCTCCGCCCACTCCAGCTCCAGGTGAGTGTCACCAGGTGCAGAAGCTAGAGAAGAAAGGAGTCGGTGTGTCTCCTTCAGCCTGCTGCTCAAAGTGAGCAGATTAAAACCTGAACAGATCAAAGCTGAGCTGCAGAAACTCCTCCTACATTACCCACAATGCACCTGCACAGTGTTAGAGCTGATAAGCTCCAACCACAGAAGGTCATCAGAGATCTGACCCTGGAGACAAAAATCAAACCTTCAGCCAATCAGCTGCTCGTCAATCATCCACAATCACTCAGCGAGGCGGCTGTCGACAGCTCTAACCAGGAGGAGCCCTCCTAAATAACTCACACAGACACACACACACACACACACACACACACACACACACACACACACACACAGTGTCTCAGATGGAAACTATCTGACTGACTTCAATCACTCAGCCGCCTGGCACACTGTGTGTGTGTTAAGGAAATAAAAGCACAGTCCTAATATAGCCTGATACACTGTGACCTGGACCCCCNCACACACACACACACACACACACACACACACACACACACACACACACACACGGGGACTCCCTGCTAACAGCTGCAACAATTATTTCTGATCCGTCTCACTGAGTTTTCTATAAAGGACTGAAAACATCTACAAACTGTGCCAGGTGGTCTGCTGATAAAAAAAACACTTTAATTTTCTGTTTAAAGTGTTTTAAAGTTTGAACAAGTTGTGGATTTACACTGGAACAACCTTTAACACAACAGTTCAGTAAAAAGACGGGTTCCTCTGAGCTGATGTACTGTCTGTAATCAGACCAACACAGACATGTGAATTAGGAATGTGCGATATAAACTATATACGGTAGAAACGATATAAATTTGTCCTATGATACAGATCTGTAGTCTACAGGCCAACCACACAYTTCTTTGTGATGATGTAACCAGCTGGAGTCAAAACACAGGAAGCAGGAAGCAGCCTGGCTGAGAGCACAAATGAAGAGAGGAAATAACTTATCTGGACCTGGTTCAGGTGTGTGAAAATGAACTGTTTACATGTTTACGTGACGGAGCGTCCTCCGGTCACATACCGACCGACCACACTGCTGAGGGAGGAGCGAGCACCGCTGCATGTGAAGGGCTCGACACACGGGAGGCCACGTGGCTCGCTCTCTGTTCATTTCCACGCAGCGAGGCGACTGTCAGTGCTCAGGTGAAGTCAGGTGGGATGCACTAAAATCAGTCTGGACCTCGTTTCTCCTGCCGTCATAGCGCAACAACACATGGCTGAATGCACGTGCACTCCAAAGCGCGACTATAATGATTGTCACCCCACCGGAGCGAGCACAGATTAAACAGGTGGAGTGCAGAAAAAATAATCTGCAAAGTGTGTAGAAAGGAATAAATACAAACAATTTGTTTTACCACCTTAAAACGAAGCAGGTGATTCAAACACAACATCCAATAGATGCAGATATCTGTTACATTAATGTTATTGTCTGTGATATACACTCACCGGCCACTTTATTAGGTACATCTGTCCAACTGCTCGTTAACACTTAATTTCTAATCAGCCAATCACAAGGCAGCAACTCGGTGCATTTAGGCATGTAGACATGGTCAAGACAATCTCCTGCAGTTCAAACCGAGCATCAGTATGGAGAAGAAAGGTGATTTGAGTGCCTTTGAAC